CACTTATCGTTCAATAGTCAATCCTTTTTCACGCTTTAGCTCATATTTAGAACCCATGGTCGATTCTGTCAACCACATTGTGCCCTTTTCGACAACTGAAAAGGGTATTTGTCGTACTATAGCTGCCCCTCCAATCAGGTCAGTTGTTGAAATTTTTTAAAATTATCTTCCAACAACATCCCCCACCCCCTTTACCAGGAGTTGGACATTGGTGGGTGCAAATTTCCACCCCTAAGAACAGTCGACTACAAAATCAACACAAATTCAGGACTACTTCCCTTTGCACCTTCAAAATGAGGCTTACAAGATGGCGATTCCAGCAGAGGAGTTCACAAAAATTGATTGGAAATATTGTGACGTTTTAAAAAGTGCATGACTGAGTTAGCTAGGCTAGCTCGTTACAACTCGAACAATCACTTTCATTGAGAAGAAAAGCAGGAGATCAAGCAGCAGCAACGAAAGGAATGGATTTGATTGAAGAACATCCTTGAAACAACAACGGTCCCGATCCAGACGAGAGTCACACATTTGGACTTTTCCGGGCGGATCGTATTCCACTTTAAGTGACGGCAGGTTTGTCTCGCGGTTGTTGTTGGAGCGTGTTGTCTTGTATACAGCTGCTGCTGCCGCTCTGTCAGCAGGCCGACCAGACCATTCGCCTCAGTAAACTTTTCAACTCACCGAGGGACGTTTACACAGCAGCCATGCCTGAAGTGGGCCATGTGGCCGACAGAACGCTGGCATCAAGAGCAGAAAGATGCCTGATTCTAAACTGTCTCTAATTGATAAAACAGCATTATATTACACAGCTACAGACTATTTAGGAGGTACAAGATCCTTCTGATTTATGACATGTTTGTAGGCAACTGCAATATTTACACGCATTAAAAATCCATTAAAACAAAAGTGTGTTTTGCTTTTAAGGAAAAAAAAAAAGAAAACATTCAATTTCACCTGAAGAGCTCCAGCTGAAACCTCACTGTGAACATAAGACTTCCTAGTTCAGTTTCCAACAAAAGGCGACCTCAACTTAACCCCGTGACCGCAGACTGACCTGTAAGCTATCCTCCGCCATCACAGGGCGTCCAACCCTCTCCCCCCCGAAACTGTTGACACGTCTTCTTCATGCCCTACTCCTCTCCCCTCCCCTTTTTTTTTCTGTTCTCTTTCTGTCCATCCTCGGGCAGTGTGTGCAGTTAGAGCGATGGGTACAGCTGCTGATTGAGCCAGCAGCCCTGATGATGCTGATTCCTCGCGTTATTGATTGAGCTGCTGGCTTTCTTCTGCTCTGCTCTTAAAAAGCGGTACATCTGGACCGATTAGCTGCTGTAGGCCACCTCTTTCTCCCAGAGCAACAAAATCCGCCTTGATGCTTCTCGCGTTTTGTCCGCTCGAGTGTTATTTGGACGCGTTGCATTCGCGTACCGCAAGCTGAAAGTAAAAGCGGAGCGCTGGGAGCAATTAACTTCAGTGTTTCCCTCCTCATCGCTACTGATTCTATTCAGTCAATCTGGTGAAACACAAAGGGGGGGAAAAAAATAATAAAAAATACAAAAAAACAAACAATGAAACAAACCTCAGACCACACAGATCTTAATTGGCTGCCTAATTACTTCAGCAGTCATTCACTTTTTACAGTTAACAGAAGAGGGTAATGCTGGCAAGATCAAATACAAGGAAAATGGGAACAAAAGAGCCTGCCTGTCACACCAGCTTAGATGCTTAACAGCTACTCAAAAAACAATTATTTGAGGAAAAAAATATGGAATAATCTTCGTTTTCTTCCAGAATCAAAAAGACGCAACTTTGCAGACGACATGTTCAAGGTACTCGTTTGACAACATGACGTTCCTTTGCTTTATGACGCCCCAAGCTGAGCGTAAATATCATTTATGCTCCAATCTTAAGCGCGGTAGATCAACAGAGAGTCATAAATGCCTGTTTGGAAATCTTCAGGGTTGTGCGTTGTACATGTAGATTGAGGCATTGAAAGAAAAAAGTGTTTGAACAGCCCCGCAAACTCCGGCTCCGAGTGAGATGAGCTCCATTATTTACAGTTTTCCGTCCCGAATCGTAATCAGAGCCTTGCGCTCCGCAGGCAGCTGCCTACTGGGGTGCAATCTCTCCCCTAAGCATAAACACGCCCATAAATCCAAACACTCGGTATTCGGGGATTCAAATTCCCTCACATATAAATACGGAGAGCATCCCGGTAAATACACAGATGTGAGCTTGTGTGTGTGAATATGTAGCTCTTATAAACAGGGTCACCCTGATGAGGAGGATAAGGACGTAGCGGGAGGCAGTAATTAAACAATACATTTTAATAAGAAGTCCTTGTGGGTAAACTCGCTGAACCAGTTGAGGTCGTGTGTTACTTGGAGAGCTCAACAAAATGCTTAACAGAGACCTTTTGTAGATTATCACGAATCGGGCCTGGAAAATCTGGATTAAAACGGAAATCAAACAGCAGTTTCTATAACTATTGGCACTCCGGATAAAGTGCTGCAACTTAATATCTTAATATTAAGTGTGTGTGGTCACAAGTTGGTTCAGCTTTGTTCAAAGATCTACCTGTTTTGGACCTTCAAAAACCTGCAGCCATTTACTGACTTTTGAAGGAAAACATGAACCTGACCAAATCAAATTGCATGATCTCACGTCTTTCCCATTTTGAAGAATTGGCGTGATAAATGGGGCTCTGTGTTTCAACAATGCTACTGTCAAGTTGGGTTTTTTTAACAGCACGACTTCAAAACCACTGCGCTTTACCAAAGTTTTTCTTTTTACTGTCAAGCTAAGTCAAATAAAAATAAATAAATAAGTGAAAATGTTGACTTCTTCGCCACCTACAGCCGCTGACATTGACCGGACAAGAAATACACTTACATGTTTGTTTTCAAAAATAATAAAAAATAAATAAAATTCTCATTTTGACAAAAAAGGAGTAGTGTCGGTGCTTCTTAAAAGTTACATTAAATCTTTAAATCTGTACAGGAAAGAAGAACGAAAAAGCCAAAAACACAAACACCATCTTCTAGAGGTTCTGATGGGGTAAAAGGCAATAAATATAAAATTCTGTTAATTAAAGAATAAAAAGTTGTCAGACAACTTAAAGGAAAAAGTTAGATTGCAAAAATGTACAAAAATATATAAGAATGCCTACAACACACGATTTCTTACCCCACTAAATAAACATGCACGGATTAGAGTTTGGATTTATTTGTCATTTTCTTTTCGGTGTAAGGTCACACTAGTGCAAGAAAAGAAATCAATTTCCAGCTTTTCATAAACAAAGATACCGAAAACGTTAAACTATATATGCTTAGATAAATGCTTTGCTTCTAGTTATGTTAGTTCAGCAAAATTAAATTAGAAACTAAACGTTTGCAGCAGAACTCAGCGGATATGAGAACCGTAGAAGGGCCACTCAATTTCAGAGCTTTTTTTTTCTTTTTTCTCTTTTTTTTTTTCAAAATAAAAAGTTCCCTTAAGGTTAATACTTTGCTCCCAAGCACATAAACAAACTGCATCAGCTGCACTCATTTGTACCTTCAAACATACAGCACTTAAGAGTAAAGCACTTGCAGATGTATTCATCAGTACACTGACCCTGAATCGTTGTGGTCTTTCCTATTTCAGCCGCATACATAAGAGGAAACACTCATCTCAGCATTAGATATAGGCGCTCATAATGTTTGCTTGGGTATAACCGCCCATAAGAGTATTGATTACTGCTGTTTATGCATCTAAACCCCTCGTGAATAATTTAAATAACATTTTACGGAGACGTGCATCAATCACACCTGCACACCCACACCGACACAATCACAATACCCAGGAAAGACCATTTCTAATTTCCTATTTAAAGATATAATAGGCCTAATGGATGTTTAACTCTAGAATGTTTTAGGAAAATATACCCCATACACTACTTCATATTCAAATTTGATTTTTTTTTTTTTTTTTTGAGGTGGGGAGGTGGTTAAGTCTCCTACGAAACAATATATTAAAGAATTTCTGAAGGTTGTCTGGAGGAGTTCCAGATAGTTACACACTCCACAAATCTGGTTTATATGGAAGACTAACACCAGATTTTTTGTTGTTGCTGCCATGTGACCAAATGCAGTAAAATTCTAGATAAATAACTAAGCTCTGAAGACCACTCGATTGAAATTTGTTGTTTTGAAGAACCGATTTCAACCTGGAGATCCGGGGTCGGTCATTTCTGTAGCACATTCGGGGTCATTTGCGTACAGCGAGGTGGGGCGTGGGTCATTTGTGTAAGGTGCTGGAAGCTGCGGTTTTAGTATGCAGGGAGGCAGGGGAGGAGGGAGGGCATGTGACATCCACAGAGAGGCGGGACCCTCTTTGACCCCTGTCTATAATTCATCCCCTGGAATATGGGCCGCATCAAACCTTGGTTTCTTCCCGCCCAAAAAGAGAGAGAGAGAGGGAAAAAAAAAAAAGAGACCTTCTCACTTTGTTGCATGGAACTCTGACCCTGGATTAAAGCAACCAGCAAGAGGAAACCTGGTGATTAAATTTTCAGGCCCGTCCCAGGAGAGCAGAACCAGAAGGTCCTTGATTCACAGACAGAAAGAGACTGAGGAAAGGGACCATGTCAGCAGGATAACCAATACCAAACGAGGAAGGCAAGGTGTGTGTGTGAATGTGTGTGTGCTGAATACAACTTACCAGATGCTCTAATTTGTCTTTGATACTCCCAGAATCCCTGAAACACACAAACACAAATTCCCCTTACTTTAAAAAAACAGATTCAGACATAAAAACTCATTCCATAGCAGCTGGATTTTTCTCAAGCGTCCACACACACCAAAAACAATCTACAACACACTCTTAATCACATGTAATAGTACGGGATCTGGTCTGTCTTAACATAGATGGTCTGGGTTGCAAATTATGCAACTTCTGTTTGTTTACAACAAAGTGGCGCGAAAAGTAGACAAACATTGTAAAAGTTCTGTTTGAGTCCAACAACTGAATATGGAATAAGCAAATATAATGTTGAGGTTTCTGTGTGCAGTGCATCTCTAAGAATTAACAAACGCATTATTTCAAGCTTTTTTTGTTACAACTGAAATGATAAAATTAGCAAAAAGCGATACTCAGTCTCGACTGCCAAGTATGTTGTAAGTCTCTTTGCTAAGTGCATCTACAATGCTTTTATGAGTTGAGAAGCACCTCCAAGCTATTCTCATGAGTTTTAAAAATTGTGGCATTTTAAGGTGAAAGGGCATATTTTCTGTTCTTATTGTCAATGTTTAAAGGAAGGCGTGTCTACCTGCCCGATTAATGCTTTAGGAAAAATACAAACACTATCTCAGGTAAGAAGACTATCAACTAGGGTGCAACTAGTCCAATAAATCTGGTAACAGGTTGAACAGACAACCCACACCGTCCTGATGTCTGCTGCACACATCCGGCCAAATGCTAACTGGCTTAGCGCTAGCTGCAGGCAGAGTGAGTGAAGGCAACAGGTGGAGGCTGAAGAAGAAAGCAGTGTTTGTGCCATCAGTATGTTGGACAGACGAACAAAAAAAAAAAAAAAAAAGGTATTTACATGAGAAAAGACATGGAAAATATTAGGCGCACGAGTGCAACCAAGATGGATTTGTGGTCTCACTCTGGGAGACATGTTTTAGTCGAGGGGAAAAAACTGCATAACTCGCCCGCTGAGAATCACAAAGATTATCCAAAATCGTCTCGGTATTAACTGATGTTCAGTCAGCAAGCCTCACACTGAAGAAAATCACAATAATCAGAGTAAACGATCTTTATGACATCACAGAGGTTTTGGTTAATCAAACGGAAAATAACCACACAGATTTATCCTAATTGCCGACCTCTAAGGCTGAAATGCAGAGCGCATTTCAATGCTTTCTGCATCTAAACCAGACTGAGGTTAACTAATACTGTCGCCACACTGCTGGCAGGCGTGATGATCATTTCCAACTACAAAGAAAGAGATGGGAGCTTATGATCTGTGAATTAATAATAATAATAATAATAATAATAATAATAGAAATGTATGTGTGTGATTATCAGGGTAGCAACAGCAGAGTGAGCTGAGGAAGTTGGGGGGGGGGTGAAAACAGGATTTTGTAAAAAAAAAAAAACACAAAAACAA